TGTACTCGCTAATAAATTAACAACAACAACCAAAATGTTTCAAATGTGGGGCAGAAGCGAGCCATCACTTACCCACTTACTTGAGTCCACTGATTTTCTGTACTGGTCTGTGGTTCATTTTATCAAACACAGCGGAAACTCTTCAGGACTGATAACTAAGAGTATACTAGGCTTTTATTATTTAATCCTATTTTGCTTTATGGCATGTGATTTGCCCTTGTATTTGAATCCATGTAACAATAAGCAGCATTACACAAGATTCTACCATTAAGTCAGTTTCTAAACCCACAAATACATCCCCCAGAAATCTGTTACTTATATAGAGTTAAGCCCATCCATTATTACCAAAGAGCCTCTACTAAGGCCGGGGTGGGAGGTGTCTCAAAATTAATCACATTCTTTTCTTAATTTTTAGTAGGAAATATCTAACTTCCTAAGAACTTGAGGATGTGTTTTTCTTTTTCATTAAATTTTATTCATTATACAGATTTCATGAAGACTCCAAAGTCAGGGCTCTGATTTCCCTGTTGTGAGTCCTTCTTTTTTTGTGTGTGTGTTTATTTATTTTTAAAGATTTTATTTATTTATTTGACAGAGAGAGACACAGCAAGAGAGGGAACACAAGCAGGGGGAGTGGGAAAGGGAGAAGCAGACTCCCCACTGAGCGGGGCTCCATCCCAGGACTCTGGGATCATGACCTGAGCTGAAGGCAGACGCTTAACGACTGAGCCACCCAGGTGCCCCTTTGTGTGTGTTTAGTATAATTCTGCTAGTTATTGTATTTGAAGGTAGTCCAATGAACTTCAAGATTATACAAATTAGATAATATAGTCTAATGTCTCTCTACCTGCTTATCTGCCCACGTGCCAGCATCTCACTAATGTGCTTAAAGAGTTGGATTAAAGGCCATAGGTTGCCTAGAAGATTATGTTCTAAGTAAATACCACCAATTTGATTAGTGACATACAAATAAGCCACTGACCTATAAGAACTCTATTCTTTTAAATATTTGCAAATTAGTGCAGTCTTTGTTAAGCAAGGTATTGCTCTCAGGAGTAAGTTAACATATGTTCCAATTTTTAGCTTGTGTTGGTGAGAGAAAAACAGCTAATTATACTTCTGCTGTTTGTTTATTGAACCTTTGTTATGATCAAGTGAAAACAAGCAATATTTCTTGTTATTTTTATACCTCTGTGCCTTTACTCATGCTACTTCTTCTGTCTGGCATGCCCTTTCCACATCACTTGAAATGTATTATTGCCCTTATTCATTTACTATCCTAAACCCTTAAAGAACAATGACTAGGTCTTTTATACATTCACTCACTTATCTATTCAATAAAGATTTCGCTATGTGCCAGTTCTGGGGAATACAGCAGTGATAAAAACAGACAAAAATCCCTGCCTTCCTGGCACTTACATAGAAATGATAGAACAGGGGCGCCTGGGTGGCTCAGTCGTTAAGCGTCTGCCTTCAGCTCAGGTCATGATTCCAGGGTCCTGGGCTCGAGCCCCGCATCGGGCTCCCTGCTCTGCGGAGAGCCTGCTTCTCCCTCTCCCACTCCCCCTGCTTGTGTTCCCTCTCTCGCTGTGTCTCTGTCAAATAAATAAATAAATAAATAAAATCTTAAAAAAAAATGAAATGGTAGAACAAATGAGTAAAATATATTGTTAGTTAGCAATATGCGCTAAAGAGAGTGTTGGGAGGTTGGAGTTGCAATTTGTGATAAGGCGGCCAAGGAAAATTTGGCTAATGCAACGATTGAGCAAAGACCTGAAAGAGGTGAGGGCAAACCGCATATAAATCTGGGGATAGAGTGTTCCAGAGAGAGGGACTAGTAAGCACGAAGGCACTAAAATAGGAGGATGCTGGATTATGCCTGGTTTGAAGAAGAGTCGCAAGGTGGTCCATGAGGCTGGAGTAGCGTAAGAGGAATGATAATCTTGTTTATCCATAGGGTTTAACACTGTGTCTGAAACACATTAGGACTTAATATTTTTGATGAATTAATGAATATTTTGATGGTAATGTAATAAAAGGCCAATATTTCACAAAACCTGAATTGTGCTAAATCCAGTTACTTTATTAACAAAAATATTTTCTTTGCTTGTCCTGACTTTAGTTTTGCCATTGAAACAGGTATGACTTTCATTAATTCAGGGTTTAGGTCAGTTCAGGATGTCATGTTGCAGTATATTACAATCTTCTCTTTGCACTTCTTTTTGTTAAAGTACTTACAAAGGACTGTAACACTAGAATATAAACACTAGAAAATACCAGCAAACATTGTTGGGTAGTATTCTCATAACCTTCAGATCTCTTAGCAAAGTTAGCAGTACTACTTAGAATCACTTAAATTGCCAGTTTAAGGACTTACACTGCTTCCAAAACTTATTTCTCAGAACATCACTCGTAGAATTTGTGTAAAGTGTACTATGCATATAATCTTATTACTATTTATTTTATTTGCAAGAATGATTCACCATTAGCAGCAGGTGGGGCCATGAACACATGTACACCAAGGCAACTACCAGCCAGCAAGACTGATTAGCTCTTGACAACTTTTCTCCCGACTGCTCCTTCCCTGGCTCACTTTTGGACTCCAGGTGTTAACATTCCTGGTATTGCTTTTGACTTGTCAGTGGATCCCTTTGAATCGGTAACCTCTCCATATTCGTTGTTAATCTTTAACACTGATTGTTATACTTTCATTCTAATTATAATATTTTCTGTCTTGCTGATTTTTTCTTGAGATTCAGAAAAACATATTCAGTTCCCTACAGTTCCCAAGAAATGTTTGAACGGAAACACCAATTGTAAAAGATTTATTCCCTGAAAGTCGCCAGATCCTGATGGTTTTGGAGTTTTAATAGAATCTTCAAGAAATCAAACCTTCTCAAGTATCAACGCCCTTCAGCTGGAGAACTCCAGGAAGTCAGCTGTAGTAAACCCAGTTGTATTTATTTCTTGTTGCGGCAAGGAAAAATACATACCACAGGGAACTATGGGCTGCCTCGTAAGAAGGCGTTCAGAAAGAACCTGTTACAGGATTTGGGCTTTGGTTGGTGCTTGAGGGAGAGTCTAAGGTAGCAGGGATCTCTTCTCAATTGGATGCTGTCAGAAAGCCTGGGCAATTCCATGATTGGGCATCTCAATAAATCTTATCTACAGGGAGAGAAGACTAATATGAGAATAAAGCTGTAATTTGTAAAGAAGAAGTAACCATTCATTTTGGCCAAGAAAAAGGGTGTTTGGTATTTTGTGGGACAGAGTGATCTTGTTTTGGTCTGTGTTTAGACAAATTCATGAAGTGCTTTGCCTTATTTTATCATGCTTTTACAATGACCTGTCCGAGGTTAGGATTTCACGAGATTATTTCTATCTAATAGGACAATAATATGGCTTAGCTGTGAGTGCCAGGCCAGCTTCAGAATGTCAGGGGCTCTTCTTGTTTTTTTCATGTTTTTTTTTTTCATCCACATATAGTGTACATACAGAAAAGTATAATTTTTTTTTAAGATTTTATTTATTTATTAGAGAGAGACACAGGGAGAGAAGGAACACAAGCAGGGGGAGAGGGAGAGGGAGAAGCAGGCTTCCCACGGAGCAGGGAGCCCGATGTGGGGGCTCGATCCCAGGACCCTGGAATCATGATCTGAGTCGGAGGCAGACGCTTAGCGACTGAGCCACCCAGGCGCCCCTGGAAAAGTATAATTTTTAAAAAAGATTTTGTTTACTTATTTGAGAGAGAAAGGGAGATAGAGAAAGCACAAGCAGGGTGGTGGCGGTGGTGGGGAAGCAGGCTCCCTGCTGAGCACGCTGAGCAGGGAGCCCAACGCGGGGCTCGATCCCAGAACCCCAGAACATTCTAGAATCTCAAGGAATGTTGAATCTTGACCCAAGTTTTCACACTTCTCGCCTTTCTTCTCTCCCCTGTCTACCTACCGTTCTACCCTGTCCACCTGTATGAGGTCTAACCCCACACGGTCAGTAACCGCTCTTAGAACACTTTTTTCGTACCAATCTGATGGTGCTTATTACATTGTTTCGAGTACTAAATGAACATAGTGTTTGTGTTTTTGTTTTACAACACTTCGGACATAATAACCGCTAAGTGAAAATTAATTGTAACAATCATGTTACAGTTTCTGTGTAGTTTTGAGTAAGTTCCTTTAGGGCAGAACTGTATCATACTTTTTGGTTTCACTTTAGTGTCTTCAAAACACAATGGCAAAGGCCCTGTCAGGGGAGACTCGTGCTACCGGCGGGGGGCACCGGGGCGTCCCCGCACAGCCCTGACACGTGGAGGCGGGGTTCCACAGGCGAGCAAAGCGAGACAGGGAGACGAGCGGTTCCACCAATCACACGCTTGGGCGGTGAAGGCCCCACCTCCCAAATTTTCACCCATTATTCAAGTTAAAGCCAAGCTCTCAAGCAGCAGATGCACGTGCAGGGATCCGAGGCCAGTCTGGGGGCGCTCGGGACACAGCATCCGCGTAGGGGGCTCAGGCGGAACCTTCATCCTCAGCTCGGTGTTTCCCGCGACTCCACTCCTATCGCTACACTACCAAATAGACGGCTTCCTTCCCCGCCCCGAAGGCCTATTCCGAGAACAATTTACAGACTTCGGGACTAATAATTTCAGCGAAACGATGAATGGACATCCTAACGAGTGAGGACAGTTTCTCCGAGCAGCATCTCCCTAGCGCGGCCCCACGACTTCCCTTAGGGGAGGGCGCCCCGCGTACGGCCGCCCACGCTTGCCCGCCCAGGGCAGAGCCCGCCGCCGCACTTCGCCCCGCGCGC